CTATGTGAAAAATATTGTATTTTGTAGTTTGAGCACAAATTGTCAATATAACAGGATCTGGTTAAGCCAACAGTCGCAGTCTGCAGTTCAGGGCAGGGCAGTCCACATTATTCTGCTGTATTTCCACCTTTTTCTCATTCTTCAGGTAAACTGCTCATGACCTCTGCAGTATTATGGCACTTAGCACAGTCTGCATTCCATCTCATTGCTCTCTTCAATAAGAGCACTGTAATCCTCATCAGAACCTGAGAATGCAGCGAGACTCTCACACAGAATAAATGTCCAGGCATCTCTATTCAGTTACCTTGGCCACAGTCCCAGGTGAGACAGTTAAAGGGTCTATTTAATCTTAACTTGACGAGAGCACTTTGGAAAAGAACCCAATCTCTCATCATCTCAGGAGATTAGATCCACACACACACACAAATCAGATGCGTCGAAAGCAGTGGCCAGAGTAATAGGCACTTAGGTCTGGGTTTCTGAACCCAGTGTGTTTTTAGATGAAGCACTCTGACCGGTTAATTAAGCATGAATAGAAACGTTCTAGAAGAGTAATAAGCAGCTTTTGACAAAATCAAATTATTCAGACCCATGAATTACGCATTTACACCCAATTATTAGCACTTATGTTAAATTTAACTTCTCAGATTATAGCTCAATTTCAATATTTGCAGAAGGGGTTGTGTAGTTTTATGATTAGCAAATGCAAAAAGAAGTACATTCATTCATATCTTAGTGATTACAAAAGCAGCACATTTTAGGAAAGTGTTACACCCTTTGGGGCGTATCTGTTTCTCTGCAAATCTCCTGATTACTCTTTCTGCCGTTCATTGCCAACAACTGCCAGCTATCTATTCATGAAAACCAAACACTTATACTGTACTGTTCCAAAGGTTTTAGTTTTTTTTAATAAAAAGAACGAGACTAAGAACATATTTGTTAGACCCTTTTGCTAGCACGTTTTGTTTACAATCTATTCTGTCAGTCCTTTGTGAGTTTCAAACCTACTATTGTATGGAGGCTTGGCCCACTACCTTCCTTGCTGTGTGTATCAGTTCTTGTGCTGGGATGTGAATAAGGAACCCATCACATTGTGCAGCACATTTACCTTTGTTAACTCTAGTAGTTTAGGATGTCAGTGGAAGTCGTCTTCTGTGTAGTCAGGTTGAGTTGATCATTTTTTAGTCAGCTTCCCTTTTCTTTTGTTCATGTCTTTGGTAACACGTTTTCTCCCTTTTGCTCCTTTTGTTTATTAATTATTAAGAGTCAGTGAATAGACCATATATATGGTTTTTGGGATAAAAGTCTCTGGTTGAAAACTCTGGCCTTAGACTAATCAAAGTGCAACATACAGAAATGTTTTTAATACAATAAATGACTATTAAAAGAGATGTATGAAAATTCTGTCATCATTCATCATCATGTTGTTCCAAATCCATAAGACTTACATTCTTTTTCGAATACAAATGAAGAATTTTTTTCTCATCGCTTTTGTCCATCCATATAAAGTATATGTAACATTTTCACACAAAAAAAGTTCATAAAGAAATCATAAAAGTGATCCATATGAATGGATGAGTGGTTTCATCGAAGACACATGATCACTTAATATGATGAACGGATGCTAATTTAGTTTTGTACTCTCATATAAACATTGCTCAACACACAGACATAGAGTACATCAAATATGGTAAACAGAAGCTCAAACACGCTTGCCTGGCACACAAAAAACCAATGAAGTTTGTTCTCAAGCAAGTATGTTTATGCAAGTATTGTACATCAAGCAAGTATATGTGCACTCATATATTTCCATAATTTTCTGCTGTAAAAACTCATAGGACAGAGTTTTCATAACTGCAAGAATTTATATAAAATTATTAAGAATCTGTCAATATCCTTAAGAGCTATGCCTTAATATTACAGAATGCAGATTGGACTGGCTTTGAAACAGCTATTCTTTTTAAAGTTTAATCATAAATCATCTAGTTTGTGTGTGGAAAAATGTTATGGTAACACTTTAGTATAGAGACCAATTCTCACTATTATCTAGTATGCATATTACCAGCATATTGGCTGTTTATTAGTACTTATAAAGCACATATTCTGCATGATCATATTCTACATCCTTATCTAATACCTAAACTTAGCAACTACCCTACTAACCATTAATAAGCAGTAATTAAGAGTTTATTGAGGAAAAATCTGCAGTTAATAGTTTGTTAATATTGAAAACTGGAACTTAAAAGTAAAGTGTGACCGATGTTATAAACTTTAAGAACTTTCTTGGCTCCAGTGTGAGCCAAATAATTTGAACATCTATAGTCATGCTGTATTTTGCCAGATCTCATCCAGTTAGATATCAGTTCAGAACCATATGCTTCACCTGCCGTTAGTGATACCTGAGCCCACGTTTCTCCCAGAGCCCCATCCAGCCCTCGCTGTGGCTTTAGAGACAAATGGACAAACTCAGCTCCATTTCCCAGTCCAGTGAAGCACACAAAGGAAGCCCTTGTTGCGGGCTCTGATCTCTCTGAACCTGCAGGCCAGAGAACAGGAAGGCTTCTGAGAGTCTGCAGGAGAACGGGGGGAGCGAAAGAGCGTATGCGCTGTAATCAGTTGGCCAATTAAACAGACCCTGGTCTCTCACCCCCATGTAATGAGAGAGGCTGACACTCAAGGGTTCCTTTCTCAACATATGAACCTTGGGAAGGGATACTTCTGCTTCTGTATAAGCTATACACATTTGTTATTATGCGCTGGTTACCATAAATTGTTCTTAAAGTGAAGATTAAATTATATTTATGTTAATTATGGAAGGCAGTTGGTCTAAATGGTCTAAAAGGCTTTGGGACTGAAGACCAATTTGCTTCTCAGTTCATGATGGACTTTTGAGAGTATTCCTTTAGAAAGACCCTAATTTTAACTTGGATGGACTAATGAAGAGCTAGGTCCGCTAGAATAGGCTGAATTTCTGACACCAAATGCACATTCTCAGAATTTCTTAAAGGGGTCATATGATGCGATTTCAATTTTTCCTTTCTCTTTGGAGTGTTACAAGCTCTTGGTGCATAAAGAAGATCTGTAAAGTTGCAAAGACTAAAGTCTCAAATCCAAAGAGATATTCTTTATAAAAGTTAAGAGTCAACCACGCCTACCTAAAACGGCTCGTTCTAACACGCCCCCACATGTCTACCTCACGATGTGGGAAGATTTGCATAACGCCGCCCAAATGTTCACACAAAGAAAGAAGGCGTAACTTTTATTCTCGCTGTAGTATTGTTGCCGCCGCCATGTCGTGAAGGCGCTGTGTGTTTCGTTGTGAAAGTGAAACTACTTTGTTTGGTCTTCCAAATGAGGACGATATCCGCTTCGTCATGCCTAGAGCTGATCCGTGCTGGTCGCTGAGGAAATACATCAACTTCGCGCTGTGGATCACCGGATCGGCTTTCACCGTGGACGAAGCGGAGTCCAGTCCGGGGTCGTCACATGTGTTTGCCGCAAGCCCGCCCGCCACCGCTCATTCAAGCCAGCCTCCACTCACTCTAGGTCGCTGGCCTCTGCTCACTTTAGCCGTGTGTGACGCTGTGTTTCGTTGTGAAAGCGAAACTACTTTGTTTGGCCTTCCAAAAGAGGACACGACTAGAAATCAGTGGTTAAGTTGTATTTACAACACTGTTCCAGAACAGTTCTACCCAAATATTCAGATGTGTCCAGCGCATTTTATGGAGGACTGTTTCCTGATCCTGGTAGAGTAGACTACAATGCCGGCTGTTCTGACTCACAGACTGTAAGTACGTTTTTCATATTTAAAGAATTTGCCACTGACGATTAAAACGCAAGTTTTGAGCAGTGTAGAGTAGCATTTGCAGTTTGTCATTTCTCTGATCACAAATGCAGACATGGTTTTATGTTTACGCGCCACGATGCAATGCAATGCGTAAAAAGACAGTATAAGTCATTATAATCTGTAATTAGGTCCCCACTGGATGCAACGGATGCCTCGTTTATAATGGGTTTTAATGTTTGTGTCTTGTCGCTCCGGCCGGGACAAGGCATCACAATATGGCAAGGGGCGTAACATTTCCGTCACACGCTTGAGGTATTCGGCCAATCACAATGCAAAATAATGTTCTTTTTAGCAACATCACATGACCCCTTTAAAAGCTTTCTAAGCTGCTTTTAGGTGTCACGTACCAAAAAGTAATCAATACATGGGAAAGGGCCCACAAAGAAATTTAACGCGAAATATGAGAAGTGTGTAATTTTACCAGGGTAAAATTTTACCAGGGCCACCCTGGTAAAATTACACGCTTCTCATATTTCGCGTTAAATTTCTTTGTGGGCCCTTTCCCATGTATTGATTACTTTCGCATCCCCACTGTTTTCAAATTGCTTTGGAAGGAGACGTTTAGCTTCCCTTTTTGAAACATTTTTCCCAGTTCAGTGCAGGTGCCAAACGGTGTGGCTCACTCTTCTGATCTTTTACAGCAAAGGTGTTTTCTGCATCTTATGGACTCCAAACTTTATGTCAGATATTGTAAGCTTTGAATTAGTTTGTTTTGAATTAGTTAAAAAATTGCCTTGAAAATATATCCTTTCATTATATGAGAATTTGCCTTTGTTAGCCAAGATGTTAAGTATTACATTTACGTTTTCTATAATCATTGGCAGTTTATAGATTTGTTAAGTTATTATTAATTATTTGAGTAAACTGAACAGCAGGTCACATAGTTCAACTTCAAACAACTAGGAAGTTGTCACAAAAGCAGTATTCTGAACAGTTGAGCAAGGACAAACATTTTTTTCATAAATATCAGTTGTTTGAAGAAGTTGCCACATTTTAAATATTGGAAATGTATACATAATTGATTAAAATATATACTGTAACTGATTGATTACAGTTTTTTCCCCCTATGTATTACTTTTTTGCGGTTTCATTAATTGTATACATTTTGCTAATGGAAAATTAGTGAATGATTTGTATCTTTTTTCTTTTCCAGGACAGCAACAGTGGAAATGTTTGATGGCTTTTTGTAGTCAGGATATTAAGGTACGCGCCTAAGCAGAAATTGACAAACTTAAAAATTAGGACTAAAATCTTTAGAAATATTCACTAAATGTGTAACTACTAGTCCTGGTCTTCCCCACTGTTTTCAGTTCAGATTAAATGCCATGACACAAGTGAAAATGATCCACTGCAAGCTGCTTTTTATATCCTAACTTACCATGACCCTCATCTTCACATACACATAAATACACACCTCAGGGATTTTCCACACAAATCTCACTTAGGCACGACTAGACCTGATCGGATAACAGAAAGGCATTATACTGAATTTATTACTGTACGTCACCTCCGTTATCTACATGACATAGCCTGAAGGATATAATGGAATCTTTACATGGCAGTTTTATATAACAATTAACAATTGCCAGTCTGATGTTTATCTGTTGATGGAAAAGATTGTGCAAGTCAGTAATAGATTTACAGAATGAACAGATTGAAGCTATTAGCCTACATCCTTCCCTGACAAGGGACAAATAAAGAACAAATAAAGACCGGAATAAATAAATTACCACAATCTGCTCATTTTCTTTCTTATCTTCTCAGTACTAATTATTTTAGAAGATCCTTTAATTGATTTTTAATTGTTTTCATTTTGTTTGATTTCAAATACAGTTGTGAGTTAGATTTATTATTTAAAGTGACTTTAGAATATAAATAAGTTATAAGATATGTAGTCATATGAATAAATATTATACAGTAATTTACCTTAAAATATTACTCAAATGTGAAGCACAAATAGTTTTTTATTAAAAGATGTCTGCTAGTCCACCAGAGTACTAATAGCCCCCCTTTTTTTGAGTTGTGGTGTATTGTCCTCAGGGCGTTTGTGTTTTACAGCCTACATGTCTGTGTGCTGACTCGGTCAGCATTGATAAATGAGTGGGAAAGGGACCAATCACAAATGAGCAATAAAAGGAGTCACACAAAGCCCCCTTGAGTTTATATCCTTGACCTGGTGTGTTTATGACAGTCTGTCTTCCTGTGAAGGTGGGCTCACATACCTAACCAGTCACTGACCAATGGAAGACAAAGGAGATATAAATGTGGTGAGACTGTGTAGGAAAATTCCTGGACTCTTTCAGTCCAGAGAGGAAATGAAGATGTTTGTCAAGTAAGCAGTCTGGATAGATAGATTTAATTGTGTGGTTACTCTAAAAAAAATTGTTCCCTTTTTTATCAGCTGTTTCTTAAGGAGGAAGGTCATTTAAGAGAGAAAGTGGAAGTGTTTTATCCATTTGAAGATCTCAACAGGAAATCTCAGGTAACTGGAACCTTTGAATGTTTGTATTGTTCTTTCAGTGTTGCTATGCCATGGTGATTCATGAGCTTGGTAGATATATACACACTTGAGTGTGGCGTACTTGAAATTCTGCCTCTGAGCAACATGGAGGTCTTATAAATATTGCTTTGATGTCACTTTCTACCCATATTCCAAAAGAAATTTGATACCTCAAAGTGTCTTGGAACCGGGGCGTTTAGGTCTTTAAAGCTTATTTTTCTAATTCATGCTAAGCTCTCAGTTCTGACATATTTCAAGAGACATGACATGTGGGTTTAAGTGTTTTTCACTTGAATGGTCAGGATATGGGTCGTACCTATGCAGGTGCCTCCAAGTGAACTGTGGGAATGTTTTCTTTTTTTATATTTATGTTCTGACAAATTGTTTTTAAAGTGCTAGACTTAGGATCACATTTATGAGAAGGTTGTTGAGAAGCATTAAATCATGCTATTCAGGACAAAAAGCTACTAAATGGTTTCTAGATTGGTACAGTACATCTGAAGATTGGCCTTTAAGATTAGATTTCATGTGACATCATGTGTACTTTAGGCCTCTTTTTTTCTTCCCCAGTTTCTTCACATTCCTCTTTTTCAACTGTAACCTCAAAGAAGCAAAAATAGAGCACTGTATAATATAGTGAAATGGATCCACCGACCCTCAGGCCATCAGAAAATCCCTCCGGCCCTTGAAAAGGGCGGGGCCATCAACACCCATAGAAGAGCACGTCATGTGTCCAAAAGACAGAGAAATCTGCTGGTTTCAAAACAAAGTAGTAAATCTGTCAGCAATGTCTTCCAGTAAAAGAGCTGACAGAGCAATATAGTATTCCTGGACATATACTGCACATCTTGTTTTGGCATTAATGTTTGCAAGTACTGCAAATTATATTTTTAAAAGATTTCAGCTCCTTTGATTATGAACTCAGTCTGAATTTGACCTGACCTAAAGAACACAGGATAAAACATAAATAAATCATGTGACTGTAAGTGACTCTTAATAGCTATGGAGTCCATTTCTGACAGGCCTCTGAAAATTATTTATTCATCATTTATGCCATGTCAGTTGAAGAAAAGTCATATTAATTACATTTTTATTTATTTTCTGGCTCATGAAAAATAGTGGATTAACTCATTCTAAGACTAACTGAACAAAGACCCTGAAGTCACGACAATTTGTCCTTGATTTGTTCCTTTCAAATCCTGTTGAGCCTCTTTGTTTTGAAATCGTTACTGTGGAAGACAGTTTCCCTGGAGGCAAGACAGTGGGTGATTTGCATTCTCCACTAAAATGTGTTTAAAGAACCGTTTCTTATTTTTATAGAAATAGTGCCATGACATAAAGTGTAAAGCGTTAAACCTTCACTGAAAGACATAAATGGGAGAAACCAAACTGTCTATGGCCAAAAGGCAGTGGTGAAATATTCAGGAATGTATTTGAGAATATCACCAGTGTTTTATTTGGATATTCAAAGGATAATCCACCATTAATTTGAGGGATTTTTAAAAGCTCTGGTTAGTCTGGGAACATTCCTGTAATTCTAACCCTGTCAGCACATCAGGCTTGTATAAAGCTCAAAGGATGCACTAAAACTCACTGTGGTGTGATATTTACACAAGACTTGAAGATTTCACAGCTGTATATTTACTGTGACAGCCATGAGGGACAGCTAGAACTCTAGATATCATATGAGCAATGCTGTATCATATTTCATTGATATTCCACATGCAGTTTTTTATGGGGACTGGCAGAAGGCCATAATATATTTTACAAAGTACATGAAATTCATATTGTATCAGAGAGTCAGTGGTAACACACAGTATGAAGCCGCCTGTATTTCCTGTTATTGATGTGTTGATGTGATTTGTACACTCAGCAGTCTTTTCCTCACTTCACTCACTGAAGATCTCACCTCTCAATGGCAGCTCTCTATAGAGGAATAACACATACTGTACTGCTAACTATTGGTGCTGCTCACAGTTATACTGTAAGTCAAATTGTAGATTTACTTATGTTGCAAACATAAAACTGTATATAATTCAATCAATCTAATTAAATAAAATCAAGGATTTAATGTAATTTGTAATTAATTCGAAGTATATCACAGTAGGTAAATTCCCCTTGAGGAACTAAAGCCTAAATAACCTACATAATGTCACAATGGTAAAAAAAAAAAGACAGAAATAATTGGCGATCACTGCTCGTTTGCATGTGTTAGCAGTCCTGGCTCAAATTCAACAGTTTATTTTCCCCATGCAAGTGCATGACAGAAGGTTTAAACATGGTGATGCTTGGTTCTGAAATAAAAAGCTGTATTTATGATATGATAAATAACCACCTCTCTAAGTAGGTGGTGTATAATACACTACCATTAAAGTATGGGTCAGTTTTTTTTTTTTTTTAAAGGAAATTAGTACTTATTACTTTTTTTAATTAAAAAAAAATAAATATAAAAGTTATTTTACATTTTAAATAGTTTTTAAATGATCCGGTAACACTTTACAATAAGGTTCATTAGTTAACATTAGTTAACTACTTTAGTTAACATGAACTAAGCATGAACAATACTTCTACAGCATTTATTAATCTTAGTTAATGTTAATTTCAACATTTACTACTGCATTATTAAAATCAAAAGTCGCGCTTGTTAACATTAGTTAATGCGCTGTGAATTAACATGAACTAACTATGAACAACTGTATTTTCATTAACTAACCTTAACAAAGATTAATAAATACTGTAATAAATGTATTGTTCATTGTTTGTTCATGTTAGTTAATACATTAACTAACATTAACTAATGGAGCCTTATTGTAAAGTGTTACCAATGATCCTCAAGAATAGTTTTTCCAATACAGCGAATAAATTGAATCCCACTGCTAGAGATTTCTAAGTAATAAAGCAATTGACTGCGCAAACCCCCAAAGATCATCAAGTGCCTCTTATCATTAGTATTGATCTCTACAGATTTAGCAAGAATCAATGCATGATTCACTCATGAACAGTAGTGTATTGAGGAAAGTGCAGTTAATCTAGCAGAGTGTTGTGTTCTGGGTGTTCCAGAGGTTATGGGGATGGGGATGGGGTGTGTTTGTGTGTATGCTAATTACATGGGCTAGACTGGCTTGACACCACACTGTCGACTTCACACAATGGCTAGAGGCTCCGCCCCCACAATGCACCTGGTGTCCAATCAGAAGCCGGTGTTGTCAGGAGGTCGGGGTCGGTGGTTTCTTTTCTGTTGTTGTGAGAGAGAGCTGCAATGAAAAATGACTTCTAAGCTTTCTCTTTCCTTTTCCTTTTCCTTTGAAAGTATCAGTCAAGACAGGAGCCTCTGCACATTTATCAGGGAATCTGTCTACTTGGCCTGTTAAACCTATAAGCTTTCCATACAGACAAAAGGTAAGTCTTTGTTTTTGTTTTTTTGTATATTTAGATTTTCAAGTTTATGCATGTTTTGTGCAAACATTATTTTGTGTGAATAAGGTATGTTTTGCATTATATTATTTCACATTTGTATTGAATAAGTAGGCTATTTTATAGTATGTGTTTTTAGTAAGGCATCAGTTTCTGTAAATTCTAAATATTAATTATAAGACAGACTCTCACAGATGTTTTTTAGTAGAAGTTACTATGTTAAAAGTTTTGGTTATTCAGTTGGCTTCACGGATCACTGAAGCAATAAACAGGCCTCTGGGACAGGCCTCTCAGACAGCACTGGCCTCTAGAACTCATTTACATCATTTTCATTTTACTTGAAGACATTTACTTTCAAAGAATGCATTTAAATATCAAACTAGACTACGGTTTTGATCTAAAATCCCACCATGTTTCAGAATGCAGCCTTTGTTTATATAAGAATGAGCGCATGTTTGTGTGGTTTTGTATTCAGCATAAATATGCCAAAATAAAGATGCATGCAAATGGCCATTTTATGCTATTCACTCTTAATGAACTGCTTTTAAGTCCCTACATGTGCCCTGGCTGGGTTGTGACCTAAGAACACTTAAGTTTGGAGCTGAAAGGCTTCAGACTGCAGGCCCCTGTGTGAGTTTTAACCTCTGGGTCAGTGGAGCTGATCGCTGTTGTGCTGTCCGTCATTATACTGTATGTGTGTGATCTCTCTTTACTCTGCTAGAGACCCTTAGGAGTAGATTGTCACTGGCACAAGATTAATGACACTCATCTGTTTGCTTTTAAACCATATGCTGTCTAGAGATGAATTAGAGCCTGTGGAATTCTGTGTACTAAACTGATGCTGAGTGCTTGATTTAAGTCATTTGAAAAATGAAATTTAAACTTCCTTATTTTTCAGATTGTGAATGTATTTAAAGAACTTGCTCACAGCATGTTTCGCTGATGCTCTCTCATGTTTATTCAAACAGGAAATAAGTTACACAGTAGACTAACGTCCATCACACACAGTGAGATTGTCAATGCTGTTTAACTAAACACTGATGGAAACAAGCACTAGAGCATGTTAATGTCCTCAGAAAATGTGTTCAGCCTTAATCATTAACCTCTGAGGTCACCGTGCCTTACTGCTTCTTAAAATGCCAGGGGCAGGTGCAAGACATTTCAAATATGGGGGCGGATGACGTGGATGGGGACTTTAGTCCCTCGTCATCAGTTATAAGGCTGGATTTTGGTTTCCTGCTTAAAAATGTAGGTACTTGCAGTTGAAGTACCAGAGGGCTTTATGCAAATGGACATATTAGTGAATCCAGCGCATTCAGTAAATTGAATAATGCATGACATGAATGCTGTTTGGATGATTAGAATTCATAGGTTGTACTTCTTCAGAGTATGAGGCTTTGCTGTAATTAAAAGAAGTAATGTGTGAATCCATCCATCACCTCTAATTCTGTTCTGTTATTTAAGCATTTGTGATTTGTCATTATTCTGTTAAAGGGATAGTTCACCTAAAAATGAAAATTCTGTCATTAATTACTCACCCTCATGTCGTTCCAAACCTGTAAGACCTTCGTTCATCTTCGGACTGCAAATTAAGATATTTTTTATTAAATCTGAGAGCTTTTTGACCCTGCATAGACAGCAATGCAATACAACTCTTGTGAACGTGCATCAAAGACTGAAACGGAAGAGAAGAAATTGTTGAATAAAGCCTTTTTTTTCAACAAATTATTCTTGCAGCTTCATAACATTACGTTTGAACCACTGATGTCACATGGACTATTTTAATGATGTTCTTACTACCTTTCTGTGCCTTGAACGTGGTAGTTCTGTTGCTGTCTATGAAGGGTCAGAAAGCTCTCGGATTTCTTTTTTGGGTGAACTATCTCTTTAAAAGAAATTATGATGGATATGAATGAAAGTATGTTATCTTACAGCTGTAGGCATCAATGTTTGAAATTTCTTTTATATAAAATACTTTTGTAACAAAAAAAGTGTATTTTACATATATTATCTACATAAAATGTTTTATTGTTCTTATTAAAAACTCATCATATCCCATTTATAAACCTTTATCTGCTTTTTATGTGAAATACCTGTTATCCTGCTGTTAAGAAATGGGTTCCTGTTCATCATACTTAAAGGGGTCATATGATGCGATTTCAATTTTTCATTTCTCTTTGGAGTGTTACAAGCTCTTGGTGCATAAAGAAGGTCTGTAAAGTTGCAAAGACTAAAGTCTCAAATCCAAAGAGATATTCTTTATAAAAGTTTAGAGTCAACCACGCCTACATAAAACGGCTCATTCTAACACGCCCCCACATGTCTACGTCATGATGTGGGAAGATTTGCATAACGCCGCCCAAATGTTCACGCAAAGAAAGAAGGCATAACTTTTTTATTCTCGCTGTAGTATTGTTGTTGCCGCCGCCGCCATATCGTGAAGGCGCTGTGTGTTTCGTTGTGAAAGCGAAACTACTTTGTTTGGCCTTCCAAAAGCGATATCCGCGTCGTCATGCCTAGAGCTGATCCGTGCTGGTCACTGAGGACATACATCAACTTCGCGCTGTGGATCACCGGATCGGCTTTCACCGTGGACGAAGCGGTGTCCAGCCCGGGGTCGTCACATGTGGTT